GACTCTCCCCCGCGCCCCCCCCCCCCACCTCCTCTTTCGCCGGCAACACCTCGAAAATCCCGGAGAGCCAAGTGTAACCGTCACCCCCCGGGCCCCTTCTGCTCTCTCCGAGTCCCCCGTGGGGGTGGGGGAAGGGGAATGACGACCAGCCCGTCTTGCCAGGGCCGAGAGACGCTTCTCGTCACCGTCGCCTGAATGGTGTGAGGCGGCGGCTTCTCCTCGACAGCACAGTACAGCAGCGGCGGCGCTTCTTTCTCCCGGCAGGTGAGACGTATTTCCAACTGCGTAACACGGGGATGGGGCCGTGTGTGCGGGAAGGTGAAGGCCTCGTCTCCTCGGCGCTGGGCACAGGGCCTCAGCCTGGGCAGCAGTGGGCGGATAGCGAGCCGTGACAAATCCCACTGCGCAACCAGGGGCCTGCTCTGCCTAATCCGCCCTGACACCCTAACTGCAGCCTTGGGGGACCTGCTCAACCGCCAGGCCTAGCCGGCTGTACAAGGGCATTCTGGGATTTATAGTTCTACATGGGGGCGGTGGCGGCTTTGGGTCACCATGGGCTGTCGTGCAGTAGATCTGTAGCTTGCAGGTTAGTAAAATACACACATGCAGAAACAGGGGCGTCCATGTGCATGCTTTGCACCATCTGTTGCATGTTTCTGCACTGTGCAATTGGCTGTTGCCTCAGTCACTCTGGGAGTCCAGAGGCATGGTGGTCGTCATCCACGATCCAGGTTACAGTGGAACTATGGGCAAAATCAGATGACATACAATGCTGTCAGCAGCATTTAAAGCTGAACTATGCGATAAGGAAATATTGTGTAAATACAAGTCATGTGTGTTGATACTTGAGTCTTGGTGAGCTTTGTGTATTTCTTCCAGACCTGTGCAGTAATCCAGTGTGAAGCTTCCTGGTATACAGACTGGTCACTGCTTCACTCTCTCTCCTTGTGCAGGGTGACTGGTCTTGTCTCCGCCCCCTCCTGTAGTTTTCTGTCAGGCAGTCTGTAGTGGGTGAAGCCTGCTGGGTCCCTCCCACAGCTCTGCTTTCTGTACTGTACAGTGATGTCACACTAGTACTTTCACAAGGTCATTATTATTATTGTGCAGAATTTATATAGCGCCAGCAGTTTGCGTAGAGCTTTACTATATAAGGAATACATTACAATATAAGGGGTTTGCCCAAACATTTGGTGCCCACAAAATAGATTCTTCATATCATTTGTGACCATTGAGTTCTATAACGAGAATTGTTTTTTGTACTCAGTTCAGCTTGAACACATCAGCTTTTGCTCCCCTGTTACCTGTTGTGTCTCTTATTTTCTACTTCTTCCTAGTGATGAGGGTAAATTCACATGTGATCTGGTTTTTATAGGCTCTTTTTTTTTTGTGTTTTTTTTTGTTACAGGCTAGAGCTTCTTTCTTTGTTTAAAGTAGCATTAAGGTCTGGGTATTTTTTTTTTACCTAAATGCATTCTCTGCATTAGGGTAAAAACGGCCCAGCACCTTTTTTGTACCCCAGTCCCCTCCAGACTTACCTGTCAGCTACGCTCGTCCCCGCCGCTGGTCCGAAGAGATCCTCCGTTCCCTGAACTTCCGGATTGCGGGGGAGGATACTGATGGCAGAGGAGCCATAGGCTCCTTCTGACTGGGAACTTTTAACGAATATAATCAACAGCCTCCAGCAAAGGAGGGTCTCCGTAAAGGAGAAATAAAAAAAAAAATTTAGGCTTTAATATCACCTTTTAACCTTTGTAAACCTAGTAAGAAAATGCGTATATTCCGGCTTGCCCATTGAAGTCCGTCAGGGCCGAAAAGTGCAACCCTGCCACAGTAGAAGCTTATGTACTTCCTAGCCTTCATTCACACTGAGGGGGATTTATCAAAACTGGAGCAGACAGAATCTGGAGCAGTTGGCCATAGTGACCAATCAGCTTCTCTCCTGTTTGTTCAGTTGAGCTTTGAAGATTTAAAGAAGCTGATTGGTTGTCATGCATAGCTGCTCCAGATTCTGTCTGCTCCAGTTGTGATAAATTCCACTCAGTATCAACACAACTCCAGTTGTGATAAATTCCACTCAGTGTTTTTGTAGGGTTTTTTTTGTGCTCAAAAAAAGCTAAAGAAAACTCCATTATTTCTATGGCCTTGTTCACATCTGAGCGTTTTGTCGCTTGTAGCAAAACACCAGTCACTAAGGCCTGGTTCACACCTGGGTGTTTTACAGCGCGTTCCTACGCGCTGTAAAACGCTCAACATGTGGAAACCAATAATTGCCTATGGGCATGGTTCCCACGTGGGCGTTTTGCAGCGCGTAGGAACGCGCTGAAATACGCCCAAAGAAGTACAGGAGCTTCTTTGGGGCGTATTTGCTGCACGTATCCATTAGGATACAGCCGGATAGCCCTCCAAAACACGCGTTTCTTTTACTGCAAATCGTGGTGAAAACGCGCATATTCTGTACGCCCAGGTGTGAACCCAACCTTAAAAGTACACGAGCGTCTTTTTGGCAGATTTGGCTTCTTGGCCCCATAGACGTAAATGGAAATGTTCAAAAACACGCGTTTTGCTGCATTTTTGTGCATTTTTACGGATGTCTATCGATTCACATCAATGTGTCATGATCTGCTCACAAAATGTGTGACTTTGTGTACGCGTGTTTTCCTGTGCTTAAAAATATGCAAGTATGTGCTACACAAAATGCGCGTTTCTACACGTGAAGATGCTGTTGCTCCGGTGTGAATGCGGGCTTAGAAAAGAGCTTAGTAATGAGCTTCAAGCTTCACTATGCTCTGGTGTGAATAGGCACCATTGAATGAATGCAAATACTTTTATAGCTTTGGCTATGGACAATCAATCTGGGTACCAAAGCTTTTTCACTTTAAGGGCGTATGCAATTGTGAGGCTTGACAGGTTTGGTATCTGTTTACTTGATGTAACCTCATAATTTTAGATTATTTTTAGAAGATTTTAAGGCCTATGATATGCATTTTAAAGTGCAAAAATGGCTTTGGCAGTGAAAAGGTTCCTTTCCACAGTTTAAGCCACATCCATAAATACCTTCAGCACTGTTCTAGAGATCTTCACTAAGTGGCCAGATGCTGCACAGTATTTGCTTAAAAACACTGCTTCTACATTTTACGCATGTGCACGGCTCTCTTCACTTATGCCTATGTCTGGGGCTGCTCTCCTCTGGATGGCTAGTATGGCCTGAACCATTGGAATTAATTAAATGGCATGTAAGCGCAGGATGCATCTGGGACTTTGTGCAAAGTCAGGGCTGCACAGTGAAGATCTTCTGGGTGGGCTGAAAGTAAAGTTGGCTACACACTGAGCCAATTTTAGCTGGTTCTTGATGAACTTTGCGCAGTGGGTGGCCCTCTCTGCCTCCTTCCATGCTTCAATTGAACAATCGAAGGAGCTTGGTGAAAAATTGTCAGCCAAATGACTGCTTCCAATCAGATGCGGGTGCTGTTCAGGTATTTTGACTGCCAGTGGGGCTGACTGTCAGAATACAACAGCTGCCGCAGAAGATGACCTGGTCCATGCAGTTTAGCATTGATGGGGAAATCTGTTAAGACTTTTTTTGTTCAGCTCCAAAGCTGAAAAACTTTAGTGTACACCCAGCATTAGTACTCGGTATGTGCCTCACAATGAAGGGGCAGGGACCGTTAAGGACAATTTCACTTTGGTAAAATTGTCTGTTACCTGGTAATAGTACGTTCCTAAAAGTGCATGCATGTTAGGTTTTCCATAATAATTGGTGTAAATGGATTCCGAGACTCCTGCAAGGGCTCTGCACTAAGGCTCCATTCACACCTAAGCGACAGCATTTTGCTTGTTTTCTGGGGCATGGTTTTGCACATGTTTTACGTGCATGCAGTATTGCGCATCTTTGCAAGCAGATTGTGGCACATTGATGTAAATGAGCAAACGCACGTAAAATATGCGAAAAAATAATTGCATTGTGCGTTTCCAAGCTTTTCCTGTTGGGTCTATGTAATCTGCCAAAAAGCAAACTTTTTCCAGCTACGAGTTTTGCTTATTGCGACAAAACGCTCAGATGTGAACAGGGACCGTAGGAATGAATGGGATTTTTTTTGTGTGAAGCATTTTGTCATGTTTAGGCCTCATGCACACACGACGCAAGAAGGTATATTGCGTATATGCGCACACTGTATGCAATCTCAGAATGCATCTTTTAATATAAGTTTTAATGTACTGTAGACGCGTACGTGTGTATGCGCGCACACATGCACATAAAATACGCAGAAATTCCGAGCCCAGGCGCATCTCGGTTCAAT